GAGAAGACACTGTCACACAGGAGACATCCGGGTCCTCTGGTACGTACAATCTTTCCACTCCCTCTTCCACACATTACTTGAACCACAAATGTAGGAGTTGTAGGTACATCAGTTTGAGTTGGGCACCTCATGGACCATTGTTCTTCGCATTTTGGTAAGTTGCTTCTTCACAAATCTTGTATTCACACCTGTGGCCCCTAGCGGGACTTCTTTTCAACATATGCTCCAACACAGCTCTTTGCCATCAACAAAATGTGTTTTGCATTATTCCGGCTTTAATAATCCTTCAAGCACTCCCCTGGAGGTCAAGAAAACAGGGTCTTCATCTTCTAGGGAGCACTGTGGGGTTTTCGTTGTTGTTGCTGCTGTTATTGTTAAACTCCCTGAAGATCAGACTCAAAACAACAAAACAGTTTGAAAAGTGATGGAAGCTTGGTTTTTAAATTTTGCTTAGTTGCATGGTAGGCAAGTTTCCCATTTCCCCCAGTAAAATGAAGACGAAGTACAAATATCTGAAGCAGAGTCAAGCAAATGAATTCCAACGGAAGCAAGAGTGACTACACCTAAATAGGGTTAAGAAGTTGGCATTCAGGGCCGGAAAGATAGCTCAGCAGTTAAGAGCACTGACTTCTCTTCCAGAGGACCCAGGTTCAATTCCCAGTACCCACATGGCAGCTCACTACTGTCTGTGACTCTGGTTCCAGGGGATCTGACACCCTCACACCAATGCACATAAAAATAAAGTTAAATAAACTTAAAAAATAAAAAAAAGAAGTTGGCGTTGAACACAATGGAATGCATGCCTGGTACCATTAACTGGGCCCAAAAACCTATGACTGTCTAGGTCATAGGTCCTGGGGGAAACCTAACACTACTTTTATTCTAGATGAACATGGTAATAAGCTGTCCCCAAAGTTCTTATCTTTATACCCATAGATAAGTACATCTCTCAGTCCTCACTAGAGGAGTTTCCTTTTGTGGTAGATAGCAACTAACAAGGAGGCTCATAGTTGGTCAACATACAGAGAATAAGAAACTAAAAGTGTTCAGTTGTGGATGGGATGTCTATATTACACCCCCTTTCCCCAGGGCTCAGGGATCACAGTGGAAGAGGTGACAGAAACACTGTAAGAGCCAGAAGTAGTGGACGCCTACAGCAAAACAGTATCTGCAGGACAGGCCAGGGCAGTGCACACAAGAATGCACCGCAGCTGTGACTGCATGCACAGCATCAAGCACAAGATCAAGCCAGAGAAAACTCCAGCATGGACCAGGGAAGGACTTATGAAGGTCTGCTTGTAGTTGAGAAGTTATTGGCAAGGGATGGTTGCTGGGAAAGCATCTGATTTCTCCAGGGATTACAGGCCCATCATCTAGTACATGGTCTTATACACATGCAAACCCGCGACATTAAGTAGACTCAGTGGTTTTTAAAAAACAAAAAACCAAACCAAAACACATGAAGTTGGGAGGGAACAGTGGAGGGGGAGAGGGGAAGAACTGGAGGGGATGGAATGAGGGTGAATTTGGTCAAAACATATGATATTCTCAAAAAATATAAGAAATATAAACATTACAAAAAAAACAAGAAAAGAAGTTGACATTGAGTCAGAAGACCTAAGTTCAAGTACCAGGTCCTCCCCTCACTAGGCCTAAGAGCCTGGATTCTATCCAAAGTGTGCAGAACTCATCTGGACGACCCGAAAGCCTTCTCACTCATGAGCTGTGCTCAATAACATTTACCGTTTAGAAAATAGGCAGGTGTTTTTAAACTATGGGGCAGGTTTCAATTTATTGTTTATGTGGTATGCTAGTTTCTCTTTACTATGACAAAATAACTGAGATAATCAATTTACAGGGAAGGAAAGGTTCTTTTGGGTTCACGGTATTGAAGATTTTGGTTCATGACCAGCTGTGCCATTGTTTTGGAAGTTGCTAAGAGGAAGTGTAGTGTGGAGAGAGAGCATGCCCGGGGGAACTGGGCACCTTGTGGTAGCAGAGAAGCAAAAGAGAGAAAGTAAGAAGAGTCAGGGTCCCAGTATTCTTGAGAATAGGCCCCTGTGACCGAACCGCATGCCATTAGGCCTCATCCCTAAGGACTTACCATCTCTACAATCCTGCCCTCCTGAGCTGGGCATCATACCTTTTAACACATGGGCTTGGAACACTTATCTAAACTGTAGCACGTGGCATCATTCGCTGCATTTTCTGAGGCGTGTTGAAATGAGGGCTGAGATGCACTTCAGTGGGTACAGTGCTTGCCTGGCATGCACAGCCTCTGGAGTTCAGTCCTCTGCACCGCATACAAGCCAAATGCGGTGAGAGCTCAGGACGAGCAGGGCTCTAGACCCTGCCTTAAAAACAGTAAATAAATAAGCAATCAATAGACGGTCTTGCGTCACCTCTATGTTCTTGGGGACCGAGATACATGCTAGTGGTTTTGAGCTACCCTCTGGCCCTAGGACCCTTTGCCACGCTGCCCTTTTCCTCTCAACACAGACAGGAAACATGGGTTTTGTTTCATCTGTAGGCAGAAATTTCGAGTGATTAAATGTCGCAGTATACACTGTTACCTGGGTGGGGAAATACTGGTTCAAAACCAGTCTGTTGATTTGAAATGTTTTGTTATTTTAAAGGCTCCACAGCAGGTCCCCTGGGCCTATGATATGCTCTTCCACTGGTAGGGCTGTGTTCACCAGACTTTCTTATTTAACACGACAAAGCATCCAAAAGTGATTAGCCTCCAGTAATAGTTCTCAACTTTGATTCTGACAACTTGTAAGTCTTAGAATGAAGCTCTCCAGTGTCCCTGCATAGCTTTCTTCTTAATCCCTCCAAGTCTTCCCACGGTCCCCTTCAGATAACTGACGGTCACTGAAAGCAGGGATGAACTGATCAGTTTCTGGGATACTTTGACCATGAACACTGGGCATGTCTAAATTACAACAGAGTCTACAGTTTTTAATCTCGGAAACTCATAGGCACCTTCCAAAATGTATCATCGGACTGTGAGTAACCTCCCTGGCCTGTGAAGCCAGTTAATGCACAGTCATGTTGACTAACAAACATACACCCTGCCATGTTCTGTGACTTCGGTAGCCATCTGGTCACACACCACGACCACACCTCCACTCAAATTTCCAAACCCATTCTTTGAACTCTGCCCTTGAACTGTGAGAGACGGGCGTGCATGTGCGCAGCATTTCTGACCAATGCTAAGTAAAGGTCAACATTTGACCAATATTCCAAACTATCTGAAGCTTCTACCTCCAAAGATATGAGTTCAGAGTTTTCTACCAAAGTTATTTCAATAACTGGAAGATCTATGAGCTGGAGCTCTTCTTGGATATTAGATAAGAATTTCCAGAGGCCCGAAGGAAGAAAAGTAACGAGTTTCACAGAAGCACAAGGTCAAAGCGCTTTCAAAATCACATCTTAAGCAACGTCGTCTGCGTCTGTCCTACACATGAGACTTCCTTATTGATTGACGTCACATTGTCCACACTGTGGGCTTGATTTGGTTGTATGGTAATTGGAAGAGAACTTTTATCACTGTTGGTGGGGGTGCAAATTATTACAGCCATTGTGAAAATCAGTTTGGAGATTTCTCAAAGAAAATAGAAATAAAATTATCACAGGACCCAGTTATTTCACTCCGGCACATGTCCAGACAACTCCATACCCTACCATAGAAACATTTGCACCCCCAGGTTTATTGCTGCTTTATTTACTATAGCAAAGAATTGGAATCAACCTCATTAGCCATTAATGGATAAATGGATCATGAAAAGTGTGTGTGTGTGTGTGAGAGAGAGAGAGAGAGAGTGTGTGTGTGTGTGTGTGTTGAAATACTACTCAGTTCTAAAGGAGAATGGAGTTTAACAAATTGTAGGATGGGAAAATGGATGGATTATATTAAGCAAGGTCACATAATCTCAGAAAGAAAAAAACACATGTTCTCTCTCATCTGTGGGATTTAGTCAATAATATATGGGAATAAGTAAACAAATGTATATGTGGATACCGTACAACATGAAAAGGGAATATGAAAATCTAAATATTAGGCAGTGAAAAAGACGACATGCAGGTGACGAACCTGAGTTGAAAAAGAAGGTATAAAGTTAAGCGTTTTCCTAGTTCTGATTCTGTCATGAGTTTTTGTGATTTTGGTGGTGGATAAGTGCATAAAACATATTGAGTACTGAAAGTGTACATTGAATGTGAGGCACCAGAGCTTCTGTCCTGAAGGTCGATTTGTTTATTTTTTGAGGCAGGGTTTCTCTGTGTACCCCCTGGCTGTCCCTGGAACTCACTCTGTAGACCAGGTTGGCCTCAAACTCAGAGATCTGCCTGCCTCAGCCTTTGGAGTGCTGGGAAGTGCACCACCACTCCCCAGCCTGTAGAGAAGTTCACTGACTTTGGTTGTGGGGTGTGTGTGTGTGTGTGTGTGTGTGTGTGTGTGTGTGTGTGTAAACAATTAGCTGTTTGGTGATGTAATTAAAACAAAGCAGGCTACTTCTGGAACTTAACCCACAAGCTCCATCTCTATGTCTTCCCTTAGCTCTAACATGAGACGCTAAAGAGTCTTTGAGAGCTCTTTAACTCATCTGTAAGGGTACGCCTGAATACTTAGCCTATTCGTGCATCTAAAGGGCCTGACCATGGCTTAAACACCCAGCACCATGTGACTCAGCATGGCTACTTTTAGATAAGCATCCGAAGGAATGGAAGCACGGACTTGAACAGGCAGTCACGGGGTTCATAGCAGCATCATTCAGAACCGCCGAGGTGGGGCGCCCCCAAATCTCCATCCGTATATGCATAAAAACACATCTGCTATGGAAGATGCATGCCTGATAATGGAATATTATTCAGCCAAACCACACCCGCCAAGATTGCTAAGGAGGTTTCGATGATTGTTTCACTGCCTCTCCCATCTTTTACCCACCGAAGAACTAGCCGGGGTTAAGAAGGTGACTACTTATTATTTTTGTCCCCACCTGACAAGTCGAGGGTCTCTATTGTTAGCACGGAGAGGGTGTCCCCAGTGAGGCAACACTCTACGTGGATAATTTCGGCGAGGCAGAGGGCCGGTTCGTCTGTCACTGGTGTGAGCTCGCACCACTCAGTGCCGTCGGTCGACTTCCTGTCTAGTCTACCCCCACCCCCACGCCCGCCCTACCACCCCATCCCTCTCCACCCCCCCCCCAGATTTCCCGCAAGGGGCGGGGGGGGGGGGGAGAGACCCAAAGCAGCCTACGGCTCCTGCGTTGTCTTGTTAGGCAAATATTTCACCTGCTTAGCCAATTAGCGTCCTCTCCCAGAAAGACGAGTTCAACAGGTTTCCATTTGCTCTCCCTCTGCCTCGTGGGTTGGGGAAAAGGGCTGTCACTTTGCTTCGACCCTCCCCTTTCCTCCCTCCCTCTGGGCTCTCCCAGCCTGGCTCGGACCAATCGTACCCTCTCCAACGTGTCCAGGTTGGCGGTTCCGGAGCTCGGCCCCTTGGATGCGCAAGGTTACGGCTCCAGAGAGCCGGGAGCGGGGAGCCCCGAGTGGGGAGCCGAGTCCTGGGGTGCGCCCGGGACGCGATCCCGATGACTGAGCTCCAGCAAGAGGTGGAGGACGCCAAGCCCGCCAAAGTGCTCGGCAAGAGGGAAGGCAAAGTTGGCCCGGCCCAGCAGTAAGTGACCTCTGGGGGGACGCGCCCAGACCGAATTGCTAGCCGGCGTTCCGATGGGAAAGGCTTTCTAAACTTGTGTAGACACGGTCTCTCTCTCTCTCTCTCTCTCTCTCTCTCTCTCTCTCTCTCTCTCTCTCTCTCTCTCTCTCTCTCTCTCTCTCTCTGTGTGTGTGTGTGTCCCCCTCCCCCTCCATCCCTTCCTTCTCAAGCTCTTTCTCTCCCTTTCTCCCTTCCAACCCTCATTAAAGAATGCATTGTCAATCTTGCAATCCGGTGGTGATGAGAACGGATGCGAAAGTATAATCGATGTTTTCTAATTCCCCAAAGAGGTCTGGGAGAAACTTCTCAAATCTTGGCGCCATGTCACGAGATCATGCTAAAATTTGCTTCAATTCTTGTATTTCTGAATGCTCTCCAGGGAGATCCAGGTGTCTCTGGCTGTTGCATGTCATTGTGTTGGTCGCTTTCACAATACCATACCGTGCACTTTATTTGATTTAGAGCTCGTGGCTGTCTTTCAGAACTCCTCTTCAACGTTTCCACACAAGAGAGCTGGAAACTCTCTTTATCCCCTCACGCCAGTCTGTGCAAACACACACACACAGACACACACACGCGCGTGCGCGCCTTTTATAGTGTTGTGAAGGAACACTGAAGTATGTACCAAGCCAAAAACACTTCAAATACTGCTGTGCCTGTGCTCTTGGAGCGCTGACGTGCATATTAGCTTTGCACATTAGATCTGACCTGTAAATTCTTCACGCTGAGAACAAATATTTCCATCCCAAGGGTTTACGTCCTGTAAGGAAACTCTTTTTCCTTTCTTGTGCTACTTTGAATGCTTTGGTTTTAATCCAAATAATAATCCAGAGGTGTGGTTTTTAAATGATTGTTATTCTTGTTCCTCTTTTTAAAAGAAAAAAAAAGAGTCACTATTTGTTGATTTGCTCTATCGCCGTAATGTGCCAGAATGTATCACTGCAACTTTAACTAATGGCACAACCAATATCTAAATTAGTCCATTTTTTTTCATGCTATTAAGTTGTGGGTGAGTCTACAATGTTTTATTGATACTGCTATCAATGATAATTTCTAATGGTGAAGACTCAGTCTCTATGACCATCATGTAGGTGTTTTGTTGTTGCTGTTGTTTTTTTTTCTTTTTGTGAATCACCGCCTTGTTCCACATGTATGAGAGCCCTCAACATGACTGCAGACTCTAGATCAGCGTTTCTAAACCTTTGGGTCATGACCCCTTTGGAGGTCGAATGACTTTCACAGGGGCTGCCTAAAACCAGTGGAAACCACTGATATTTATTAACATTATGATTCGTAACAGTAGCAAAATTGTAGTTATGAAGTAGCGGTGAAGATAATTTTATGGTTGGGGGTCACCACAACATGAGGAACTGTATTAAAGGGTTGCAGTATTAGGAAGGTGGGGGACCACGGCTCTAGATTCCATCAGTTGCGTTTACCTGGAAATTTGGTAGGAAGAGCTGTTAGCCACTGTGGTCTATGGTTTCAAGGCCATAGTCATACACTCTCCTAGGTCTCTGTTCCCCTGACCTCTCTTTTATTTGCTGTCCAGTATCCAGCAGCTTAAGTTAATGTTCCTTATCCTTCACTTGGTCTTACCTAAAAGGTCAAGAAGTGTATTTCCCACTCATGTTGGTAAAGGGACAAGGTCGCCAGAAGTAAAACTCCCATAAAATGTGGAGGGTTTTTCTCACCCTAAAATAAAATCCTAACTGTATAATAATAAATCAGATCTATGACCAGTCTTGATGGTCCATGCCTTCAATCTCAGCATTCTGGAGGTAGAGGCAGGAGACTCTCCATGAGTTCAAGGACAGCCTGATCTACATAGCAGGTTCCAGGACAGCCAGGGCTTTCTGACTTTCTGACAGAGAAAGTCCCTGTCTTAAAACGCCAAAAATGAACTGACTAAATAAATAACTCAGCTCTAAGAGATGAAGTCTTAAATACCACCTCTTTCCTTTGCTCGTTGTCATGTTTGCATATATTTTATTTCCCTAGAGAAAGCTCAGTATGGACAGTCCTTTCTCCACGCTCCAGACATGGTGACTGGAGCCTTGTGTGACAGAAGCAGGGCTGGCGAAGCTAGGTCTCGAAACTCCTAGTCCAAGATGCTCCCAAGGCCGTCTACTTCCAGTTACCCAAGGAATGGTGGCTCAGATCCACCAAACAGCTGCCAAGCTTTGAAATCTCCACTTCCCAGCTGTCTAGATCCTCAGATAAGGCTTCGCATCAGATTGATTGAAAACTCTGCTCTAGCATTCGTACGAGTTTTGTTCATTCAAAGCTTAGATACTTGGGAAATACTTTCATAGAGGATAATAGGCCAGACCACACTGAAGCTCGTAGCTCCGGGACAGCCTTCCTTTCATTTTGGAAGAGTCCGCTTCGGTGGTGGCGCACGCCTTTAATCCCAGCACTTGGGAGGCAGAGGCAGGCGGATCTCTGTAAGTTCGAGGCCAGCCTGGTCTACAAGAGCTAGTTCCAGGACAGGCACCAAAAACTACAGAGAAACCCTGTCTCAAAAATAAAAAAAAACAAAAAACAAAAAAAACACAAAAAACAAAAAAAACAAACTCATTTCACTTAACAAGCGCCGCAGTACCTACTTGTACAATCACGTGATCAGATCAAAGGTAAATGTGGTTTTGCGACTGTCCTTCTGGAACTCAAAAACGTGGTAGGATAGGCAAGGCTCAAATGTGGTCGTTACTTCATGAAGTGGACAAGGTACCATAAAAAGTTTGACCGCTAACTGAATCTTGCATGTAGTTGAGATACTTGTCTATTGCTGTCTTTGGTAAAATGTGGCAAATTTTGCTAACTTATTTCTCTCTACAAGGTAGCAGTTTCTAAGCCAGCCGGAGTCGTGTTTTGTTCCGTCTAGATTTTATAAATTTACCTTTGAGCTCTTCAACTCTTTCTCTAGTATCAAGCAGGATAAGAGTTAAAGAGGGAACGTCCTTGTGGGTATCCTAGTGTGATGATGTCACTTGGGATTATTTTAGCTTCCCAGACATCTATGTTTACTCCTGTGGGCTTCCAGGTGTCTCGGTAAACATTTGTGGGAAAGTATGAGAACGGCACCCTAACCGCTCCGCCTCGTGACGCAGAGCCTAGCCTCCTAGGTAATAATAGTGGGCATCGTTGAGAATGCTTGCTACGTGAGAGGGAAGATGCCCGACACTTCACACTCCTAGAATGAGACGGGGATTGTTACAGCTCCATTTTATAAATAAGAGAGTGCATTGACGCTCTCAGGAGCTGAGCAGGATTCCAGCCCACACCCTCTCTCTCTAGATACAACCACATAGACCATCTCAGCTGCCTTTCCACCCGTACATCACTTACAGTGAGGTCATCATGCTTACAGGCCTGTATTAAAGAGGTAACACATAGCACCACCATGTTCCTCCCAGAATTATTCACAACAGTTAAGCTATAGAATCAACCTTTACCTATTAATAAATGAAGGGATAAATAAAATGTATCCATATGCCCAATGGGAAATACGGTATAAGGATGCTGTTTGGCTTCAAAAAGGCAGAAAATCCTGTCATTTGGGACATGATTTAACCAAGAAGACATTAGGCTAAGGGAAACAAGCCAAGCTCAGAATAACAAGTACTGCCTGATGTCACAGAAGCAGAATGATAGTTAGCCAGAGTGTGGAGTGGGAGGGAATGGGGTGCTGTTGCTCAGACCACAGCGTATCAGGGCAGACAAGCTAGCTTAAGAGTGTAGAGTCAGCTGAGGATTGGAATCCAGTCCCTGGGTCCCACAGAGTAGAAAGAGATGACTAGCTCCCCAAATTGCCGTTTGCCTGCCACATGTGCCGTGGTGCACGCACGCACACACACACACAAACAGAATGAATGTAATTTGTAATAAAGAGGACAGAATTTCAGATAGATGACAAGAATTAATGTGAGATATGTTGGGTAGTAATGTAACTAAAGTGACATAAAAATGTATATTTCACTGGGCCGTGATGACGCTCACCTTTAATCCCAGCACTCGGGAGGCAGAAGCAGGCAGATCTCTGTGAGTTCGAGGCCAGCCTGGTCTTCAAGAGCTAGTTCCAGGACTGGCTCCAAAGCTGCAGGGAAACCTTGTGTCGAAAAACAAACAAACAAAATGTGTATTTCAAAGTAGAAAAATACCAAATGCCTCATCCTAAAAATATGATAAGTAAGTGAGGTGTGGAATATGTTGATTAGTTTTCTCATTCTATGTTGTGTGTGCATGTGCCCCATAAATATATTTGGTCATGATTAGTCAGTCATTTTAAAGTATTGATTTAGGGGGCTGGAGAGATGGTTAAGAGCACTGACGGTTTGTGCAAAGAACCCAGGTTTGGTTCCCAGCACCTGCATGGTAGCCTGCAGCAGTCCCCCACTCCAGTCCGAGAGGTCCAGAAGGTCTGATGCCTTCTTCTGGTCT